ATAGGGGAACAAAATGCCACAAAGGGGAACAGACTGTTTTCAAACCACCCGGGGATAATTTACGAACAGGGAGGAGATCAAAAGAAACCCAACTCCAGCTTCAGAGTTCAAGGAAGGGCGAAGTGACAGAACAACACGCTGCTCTGCCCCTACGTCCCCTCTCACTCTGCTCTGTTACTTATCCCTCCATTAACCTTCTCCAGCCTTTTTTTCCTTTCGTGTATCTGCAGCCATCCCGAGGAGGAGCCTTTGCTAGCCACCCACTGAGCCTGGAGACTGGGCTCTGTCTCTTAATAGCACTCACTACACTTTATTAGATTAGTGGGTGAGTTTTGCGTTCCTCGCAGCGGAGTGCCGAGGGAAAAGGAAAACAGAAAGAGCAAACCAAGCAGAGGGAGAGAGGAAGATCACTACAGCGTACATGACAGGTCGATATCACTTTCTAACCTTGCACAAGCTGTCCTCAAGAAAACCTTCTGCAGACATCTAAGCATTGCAGCAAGAGCCTCGTGTGCAGCGCTGCCCGTTCCGAGTGCACAGCACAAAGCTTACGGCATACCAGGAGCCTCCCAAGAATGACAGCCTCCCGCCAAGCCTGAGCTCAGTCAGCTGTGGGAAAGTTTGCCCCTAGCTTGCAGAGGATCAAGTCCCATTTCCTGCCCCCAAACTCTGCAGCTGAGGTTTGAAGGGGTCTCTGGCGATGCCGGCCATCTTGATAGCGATATCACAAAGCCCGGCCTGTGACTGCCCTCGGCAGCCTGATGGAAAGGGCAAGTGTTAGGCAGCTCTCAGCAAGAGCAGCCTGGTTCACAAAGGCAGCAGGTGGCTGAAGATGCAGCTTTTCAAAGCTTTTCCAAAGGCGCAGGCCTCTAACCTGCTGGAATGCGTTCTGCAAATCCCCCCGGGTGCCTATCTGCAGCTTTTGACAGCTAATCCCTGGATAAACCTATCCCCATCTGCAAATCGAAACACCCCCAGGCCAGGGAACGGTGGCACGTGGGAGCACTTATTTCCACGCCTTACTGGAGACTCAGAAGCCCAAGTTTAAGCCCCGACACATATGGGAGATCCTAACAAGCCACCAAGCCGAGGGCAGGCAGGCCACCAAGGCAGCCCTAGGCCAGGTTCCTACTTCAACGTCGTTTCACCAGGCCTAATCTGTTCAGCTAGCAGATCAAAAAGAATATTGTTCTTACTGCCAACTTCAAAGACTCCCTCTGGGATGCAAGAGTCAAATTTCTTCCCCAGCTTCTGAAATTCTCACTGGAAGCCGAGAACCAAAAACGCTGTCAGCGACGCATGAGGCAGAACAGCGCTGTGGGGTTGGCAAAGGACAACCTTCAGCAGGTCAGAACTGTTGATCAAGATGCACATTGGCCACAACCGTTCTGGTTGCAGCCATGCTGCTTGCAATTTGCCTGAACAGAGCTCAGAGAAGCTGAGATAGGGCTGGCGGAGATTGAGTTACCTCCTGCTGCCTGGCCCAGGGCGTTATTTTTAGGGCAGGTTCTGGAGTAGCAGACAGCGGCAAGTGGAGCACCAGCAGTTGAACCAGCTCTGTCCCCACTCTGGAAAGGGAGCAGCAGGGCTCTGCCTGATCTACGCTTCCCTCAGCTGGGCACCTTCAGGACAGCTCCACCCTCCCCGAGCACTGCACCAGCTGCACAAACCTACAGGTTTTTGGTAACGTTTGAGAAGCTGGCAGAAGGAAGATGTGCCGCAGGAACGTGTCAGGGATGTGATTCAAAGGATGCTGTTGAATAATTCAGGTTCCAAGTTTAGAGGGGTTTAAAGAGCAAGGGAAGAAGAGGAGGAACGAGGTTTAGTTTTTTCTTGGTTTTTTTTCTTTTTTTTAATGGATTTTGTTGTTGAGCGAATGAGAATGAAAAATTGGCGATAGATTTTTCCACACTCCACTCAGAATCAAAAGAAAAGAAACTGATTATACACAGTAGTGTCAAAAGCACAGAATAAACAAAGACAACACTTCCCTACCGCTGAACGATGTCAGGTGTTACGAATCCCAGCGCTTTTTAATTCAAGCAGAGAACTATTTTAAGGCGGTGGTTTCCCTTTCAGCTTTCCTTTGCATTGTTGGAAACCTAAACACCAGGGTTTCACTTAATGCATGACTGCCAGAAAAACCACCTAGCCCAGCTTCCCTGCACAAAGATTACGAGGTGCACCCATCAGTTGCGTCTGTAGCTTTCAGGTTGCATATGCAGAAAGCTGTTAGCAGAAAAACAGGCGGAGGACACTGAAGGAGGGACTTTCAGGGGATTACCGTGTCCCCTGGGTTTTGCTCAGGGCATCAGCATGCGCCCATTCCTACATTTCCCCCACGTGTTTCAGGAAGCAGAGACGACATCCTACCCCTCTCACTCAGTCCAAGCACTAGGCTAAGTGGAGTGAAGCTCCTGCTGCTGCCAGGCAGAGGGGAGCGTTAACCCATTGGGGGAACACGCACAAAGGGATAAGGACGTGCTCTGAGCCACAGACAGAGCTGGTGATGGAGATACCTCACTGCACGGCTGTTCCAGTGTTTCATACGGGATCAAAACTATGATCTGCCTTACCTGTCTCAGTCACGCTGAGGTGCGTTGTCTGAGTTCATCTGAACCCGCAATGCTCGTGGAAGGAGAAGGGAGCAAAGCATGCAGCTCTGCCTTCGGGCTAACGAACCCACAGCACTCCCCCAGCTAACACATTTCTTAGTTTAAAAAAAGAATAAAATCGAGGGGTCAGGGTTGCAGTGGGACTACCTTACTGCAAGCAGGCTGGGACGACGGTGAGGGGTCTACTGGGGCACCGAAGCACCGCTCCTTCCCCAGTGCCTGCAGCTCACAGATGGGAGCTCCCACAGCGAGCGGGGCGTGGGGAACGGCGTGCCGAGAGAAGGGGCCACGAGGGGAGAGGCCGTGAGGGGGCCCCGCCGCCCCCGGCTCAGGCCAAGCGCTGAGGGCACGGCGAGGGGCTGGGTGCGCCGCGCTAGGCCGGAGGGATGTAAATAAGAGTTACCTTCAGCAGAAAAGTTTTGGGCTTCGGTCCTCTCTTCTTGGGCCCGTACAGCTCCCGCTCGCGCTCCCTGCGGGGAGGCAAAGCCAAGGGTTACCGCCGTCCCGGGGGGGCCCTTCCCGCAGCCCCCCACCGCCCGCTCGCTCGCTCACTCACTTCTGCTCGAAGGCGGCGATGAGGCGGGAGTCCAGGATGTTCTCCTCGGGCTCCCAGGTGCTGTACCTGCCGGGCGGCACCGCGACGCGGGTCAGCACGGTGCTCACCTCCCCGCGGCCCCCCGCACCCCCGCCCCCCCCACCCGCCGCCCCGCACTCACTTGATGGCCCAGCCCTTCCATTTCACCAGGTACTCGATGCGGCCCTGCAAAACACACGGAGGAGACGCGGGGGTGAGACCGGAGGCGAGGACTTCGCCCCCCCCCCCCCCCCCCCCCCCCCCCCCCCCCCCCCCCCCCCC